GGTCAAGGAAATCTGAGGCCATCCTGGCTAACACGAGGAAACCCCATCTCTACTAAAAAATACAAAAAACTAGCCGGGCGAGGTGGCAGGCGCCTATAGTCCCAGCTACTCGGGAGGCTGAGGCAGGAGAATGGCGTAAACCCGGGAGGTGGAGCTTGCAGTGAGCTGAGATCCGGCCACTGCACTCCAGCCTGGCGACAGAGCGAGACTCCGTCTCAAAAAAAAAAAAAAAAAATTGAATGGTTAAAAAAAAGCCGAGTGAAGAGAACCAGTCACAGTAACATAATATGAAAGTTCAGAAACATGCAAAACAATATATTGTTACACTACAAAATATTATTTAGAAGTACATAGACAGTAAATTAACATAGAACAGCAAGAATGATCAGCATAAATACAGCAAGGAGGGTACCGCTGGGTGGAAGGGTGAGGTACATGAACAGAAAAGGGGTACGCAAAGCTTTCCCAGTTACTGGTCATGTTCTATAGTTGGGTGGTTTTATGAAGCCTGCACACACGTTATATAATATACTTTTAACACACACATTATATATACAAATATATAAAATATTAAATATGTATAATATATATATTAAATATTGTATACTTATTATTATAATTAAATATGTATATCTATTTATATATTAAATATGTATATAATTATTGTATATATATAAATAAATATAATAATTTAGCTGGTGTTGTGTGTCGCTGGCGCGCCCGTGAGCCAGGATGGTCTCGATTTCCTGACCTCGTGATCCTCCCGTCTCGGCCTCCCAAAGTGCTGGGATTACAGGCTTGAGCCACCGCACCCGGCCTAACCATTCAATTTTATTTATTTTTATTATGGTAAAATGTACATAAAATTTGCCAGTTTTATCAGCCGCATTCTGTGTTGCAATAATTATTTGCGGTAGTGTTGTAACAGTTTTCATCACTCTGCAGAATTCCATTTTTGTTACAGATGACGGGATCATTCAAGCTTTCTAGTCAGTTTGGATCATTTTACTTTTCCTAGGAACTTGTTTCATTTAGGTTGTCAAATGTGTTGACACGGAGTTCATAATGTTTCATTTTAATTTCTGTTATGTCAGTAGTTAAGTCTTCTTTCTAGTTCCTAATAATGTTTATTTGTGCCCACTCCCTTTTTTTTTTTTTTTTTTTGAGATGGAGTCTCGCTCTGTCGCCCAGGCTGAAGTGCAGTGATGTGATCTTGGCTCACTGCAAGCTCCGCCTCCCGGGTTCATGCCATTCTCCTGCCTCAGGCTCCTGAGTAGCTGGGACTACAGGTGCCCGCCACCACGCCTGGCTAATTTTTTGTATTTTTAGTAGAGACGGAGTTTCACCGTGTTAGCCAGGATAGTCTCGATCTCCTGACCTCGTGATCCGCCCGTCTTGGCCTCCCGAAGTGCTGGGATTACAGGCGTGAGCCACTGTGCCTGGCCGCCCACTCCCTTTTTATGTTGATCTGTCATGTCAGAAGTTTGCAAGGTTTTTTTTTAGTGTTTTCAAATAACCATCTTGCAGTCTTGGTGATCCTCTCTATTGTAGGTTTGGTTGCTTTTTCATTCGTTTCTGCTCTTATTTTGTATTTTCTGTTTGTCCCACTTCTAAGTTTCATTTTTTCCCCCTTCCTTGTCTTTTCAATTAATCAAGTTATAGCTCCTCTATACATGCACACATTCTCGCTCTTTCATTTTTTTCTTCTACAAATTAGGAAGTTCTGTGATCTGTTTCTGTTCTTTAGTGGGTGGATTAAGGATAAAGAAAGGTGAGGAATAAGGTGTAGTTACCCTGCCTTTTACCTGAGGATGTCTCTTGCCATCTTCTTTCCATCACCACTGCCTGCTGTAGGCGATATTCCCATGACCTCCTTTCTGGACTGTTGTAACAGATGTCTCCTAAAGCACAGATAGAATTACGTTGCTTGTAGCTGGGCACAGTGACTCACGCCTGTAATCCCAGCACTTTGGGAGGCCGAGGTAGGAGGATCACATGAGGCCAGGAGTTGGAGATCAGTCTGGCTAACATGATAAAACCTCGTCTCTACTAAAAACACAAAAATTAGCTGGGTTTGGTGGCGGTCACCTGTAATCCCAGCTACTTGGGAGGCTCATGCTGGAGAATTGCTTGAACTTGGGAGGCAGAGGTTGCAGTGAGCTGAGATCACACCACTGTACTCCAGCCTGGGCAACAGAGCAAAACTGTGTCTGAACTAGATACATATATAGCTTATATGTAAGCTATATATACATACATATATAGTATATAGATAAGCTATATATACATATATCGTATATAGATAAGCTATACATACATATATGTATAGGCTATATGTATATATACACATATACATATATCGGCTATATACATGTATATAGATAGGAATATATACATAGTATATAGATTATATACATATACTATATATAGATTATATACATATATGCTGTATAGTATAGATAAGCTATATATACTACATAGTACATATATAGCTTATATATGTATATATAGCTTATCTATAGTATATATGTATATATAAGCTATACATACATATGTGTATATATACTATATGTAGCCTATAGTATATATAGCCTATATATAGTATATGTAGCCTATGTATAATGTATATATGTATATATAGATAAGCTATATATGTATAGATGTGTATATATACTATAGTATATACTTATATATAGTATATACTTATACTAATAATAGTATATATACTATATAGCCTATGTATAGTATAGGCTATATATACACTATATAGTATAGGCTATATATAGTATATACTATATGTACTATATAGCCTATGTATAGCCTATACTATATATAGCCTACACTATACATATAGTATATATATAGCCTATACTATACATAGGCTATATAGTATATATAGTGTATATACTATTAGTAGTATATACTTTGGGAGGCTGAGGTGGGAAGATCTGTCATGTCAGAGGTTTGCAAGTATATATATAGTATATATACACTTAGTATATATAGCTATACAGTGTATAGCTCTATATATATAGCTTATATATACTATATGTAGGCTATATATTGTATATATACCATTATTATATATATACACACACACTTTGGGAGGCCAGGACGGGAGGATCTGTCAGGTCAGAGGTTTGCAAGTATACTATATACTGTTAGTATATATAGCTATAGAGTATATATAGCTTATATATTATATATACTCTACTTATATAAGCTATATATACTAAACATAGTGTATATATATATTCACATTATTCCCCTGCACACTTATCTTTGCTGGCTCTCCAGAATCTGCCAGGTAAAATCCAGATTCCTTGATATGGCATTTAAGATCCCAACATAATTTTCTTTTTTTTTTTTTTGAGACGGAGTCTGGCTGTGTCACCCAGGCTGGAGTGCAGTGGCGCGATCTCGGCTCACTGCAAGCTCCGCCTCCCAGGTTCACGCCATTCTCCTGCCTCAGCCTCCGAGTAGCTGGGACTACAGGCGCCCGCCACCACGCCCGGCTAGTTTTTTGTATTTTTAGTAGAGACGGGGTTTCACCATGTTAGCCAGGATGGTCTCGATCTCCTGACCTCGTGATCCACCCGCCTCGGCCTCCTAAAGTGCTGGGATTACAGGCTTGAGCCACCGCGCCCGGCCTGACCCCAACATAATTTTCTTGCTTTCTTCAGCTCCCCAACCCCTACTCTATAATATCCTTCATATTGGCATACTTGAAGTTTCCAGAACAGACCCTATACTTTTCCATTACATTTATTTACACATAATATCCTCCCCCACCACCTATCATGTCCCATGATCGATTTTAAGCTGAGATGGCCCATTTTGCAGCCTTACAGAACTAGACCAGAAGATATTTGTGGATAAATCTGATCTTCCTATATGTAACTTCTACTTCACTGGTTCCTCAATCTGAATTGGCCACATGCTTGCTGAAAAGACTTGTTTTCTTCTTAAGGGATCCTAGTAATCCCTTAAAGACCAAATCAAGTCACCTGCATCCTGCTGCATTCTTGATTCTCTAGATGGAACTAATATCTAGCTTTCCTATTCCCAGATCACTGTCCCTGCATTACCACTACTGGTGAGATTCTGGTATTTTCAGAAGGCACCACCTGTTATGTCAGAAGATGCGTTGTGCAGCTGCTTCCATTGCTAACAGATGTATCTCTTTCTCTCATTCAGATCTATGCCCTCAACAGAGTCATGACAGAACTGGAGCAGCAGCAGTTTGATGAGTTCTGTAAACAGATGCAGCCTCCTGGAGAATGAGCTCCCCAGGTTCAAACCAGATGGGACCCTGAGATTTTTGTTTGACAGGGTGTTGCCAGTTTTAAGCTGAGATGGCCCATTTGGAGCCTTACAGAACTAGGCCAGAAGACATTTGTGGATAAATCTGAACTCACTTCCTATGTGTAACTTCTACTTCACTGGTTCCTCCAATCTGAATTGGCCGCATGCTTGCTGAAGAGACTTGTTTTCTTCTTCTAAGACAGTGGTTTTTGTTTTTTGTTTTTTTTTAAAAAAAAAACAAAACACACAAAAAAACCTTTTTCTATTTGAGAAAAATCAGTGTTTCTCATGAAACTATATCTTCTCCAAAAATACAAATAAAATACTAATAAAATGTTCATTTACTGATACTTTAGCAAGTGCCTAGCCATAGAAAATGGAATACAAAGTAATGTAATAGGTAAGAAAAGTTGAGGTGAGCAGAAGGCACCCTCTCTCCTTCAGGAGCTTGGCAGAGAGGAGAGAAAGAACACAACTGCTTCCAGTTTTCATTCTTCCTGGAGCTAAAACTTTGCAGACCCTGCTGATCTCTAGTTTATAGGCACACAGATATAAATATGTGACCCCTTTACTCCCAGATGAGTCACTAGTCAGGGTTAGAGGCCTGAAGCTAGGATTTCCTCACCGGTGATTGTGGAGAGCTAGCAGCAGGCTTTCATCAACAGCAAGAGGGGAGTGCAGGTGCTTTTTGTTTTTTGTTTTGTTGTCTGCCTTATCAGACCTAGAAACGAATTTATGATGGAAATATTCAGACGTCCCTCAGAAACCAGCCACCACCCCTCCGCCATTCAACTGCCATTTTTAGGTGTAGAAATGTAAGGTGGTTTCTGCTTCTGACATTTGTATCAAGAATGGTAGTTCATACCTGAATGCTTAGTAGAGTTATTTTAATGCTGAGCAAAAGAAGAGATTGTTCTTCTAGGATATTTCATTTCCAGAAATTCCTTGGGAGTAGGGGGAGCAGGACTTAAGAGAGCTGAAAAAATACCACTCAGATGGGGCAAAGAGGCAGACACTGCCACCTCCTTTCCTCTAAGCTGGAAATGCTGGAAACACCTCAAGCTGTCCCTGTCTCCTCTGTCTCCCTGTGCTGCCTCTGAAGTCACTGAGAATACTTTTCCCATTGCTCTGGCATATTTCAGGAGTAAACTGGGGAGTTAATGGGATGTTAAACTTTCTACCACTGTGGAGAATGTGTTTTTAGAGCCCAAGTTATAATTAAGGATAATCTCTACATAGATTATCTCCACAAATGGTAATTAGGTTCTGTAGCATCCTGCTAAATTTTTTTGAGTGGAGTTTTGTGTTTTCAGAGAAGTAGGGGGTTGGAGGGAGCCGTCCCTATAAATACACAGAAATACTGTCATATGCTTAAAAAAAAAAGCCGTTTTGGAGCCAAATGACCTGGGGTACCCAACTACCAGTTAACCTCTCTGAACTGCAGTTTTCCCATCTACACAATGGAATATTTCCTTCCTGTCAGGAGTGTTGTTGAGAAATAATGTATGTAATAGATACTCAGTGTCTTAGTCCACTTTGTGCTGTTACAGCAATACCTTAGATTGGGTTTGTGTTTTTGTGGGTTTTTTTGTTTTGTTTTGTTTGTTTTTTGTTTTTTTTTGAGACAGGGTCTGGCTCTGTTGCCCAGGCTAGAGTGCAGTGGCATGATCTCGACTCACTGCAACCTCTGCATCTTTGCTTTCTGGCCCAAGCCATCCTCCCACCTCAGCCTCCTGGGTAGCTGGGACTACAGGCATGCACCACCATGCCTGCTAATTTTGTATTTTTTTGTAGAGACAGGGTCTCACTTTGTTGCCCAGGCTGGACTCAAACTCCTGAGCTCAAGTGATCCACCCGCCTCAGCCTCCCAAAGTACTGGGATTACAGGGATGACCCAACATGCCTGGCCTAGATTGGGTAATTTATGAAGAACAGAGATTGGTTTCTTACAGTTCTAGAAGCTGGGATGTCCAGTGTGGAGGGGCCTGCATCTGCTGAGGGCTGTCTTGCTACATCATCCTGTGGCTGAAGGTGAAAGGGCAAGGGAGGGAGAAGGAGGCCAAACTTCATCCTTTTATTAGGAACCCACTCCCAAGATAACTAGCCTACTCCAGCAATAAGACATCATTACTCATTCATGATGGCAAAGCCGTCATAACCTAATCATCTCTTGACGTTTCCACCTCTTAACACTGTTGCATTGGGGATTATTTCTAACACATGAACTTTGGGGGACACATTCAAACCATAGCACTCAGAAAATGTTACTTCCCTTTCCGGCCACCTTTCAGATTGTTTCATGGGAAATGTTTTCAGATTTCACATAACCAGGAAAGACATGATCATTGTGTGGAAAGATTCTTAGTTGGGAACTGCTTGTATTAACATCACTCAGCCTTGGGTATATTCTTGTCCTGGAGAAACACTCTAGTATGGCACAGTTTTTCAAACTGCAAGTGGTTGTAAAATCAGTTTAGTAAATTATGACCAGCTTTTCTTTTCAATGAAATAATAAATTAGAAAATACCACATGCGGGGCTGGGCACGGTGGCTCATGCCTGTAATCATAGCATGTTGGGAGGCCAAGGAGGGCAGATCACGAGGTCAGGAAATCGAGACCATTCTGGCTAACACGGTGAAACCCTGTCTCTACTAAAAATACAAAAAAAAAAAATTAGCCGGGCGTAGTGGCAGGTTCCTGTAATCCCAGCTACTCAGGAGGCTGAGGCAGGAGAATGGTGTGAACCCGGGAGGTGGAGTTTGCAGTGAGTGGAGATCACGCCACTGCACTCCAGCCTGGGCGACAGAGCAAGACTCAAAAAAAAAAAACTACCACATGTGGTAAGGATATTGTTTGGTGAAACTTTTGTTTTAGGGTTACATACACATGAATGTGTATACTGCATTTGATGTAAAAATTATTCCTTACTGTGGGTTGTGGCAAAAAAAAAACAAACAAAAAATCGAGATACAAGAGGATATCTGAACCAAGACAGCAACGGGTCATCTTTGTATTCCCCTTCCCTTTTTTTCTCCCCCACCTCTTTGAGTCAGGGTTTTGCTCTATCACCCAGGCTGGAGTGCAAGTGGTACAGTCACGGCTCACTGCATCCTTGAACTCCTGGGCTCAAGCGATCCTCCTACCTCAGCCTCCCAAGTAACTAGGACTACAGATGTGTACCACCACACCCAGCTAATTTTTAAAAATATTTTTGTAAAGATGGGGACTCGCCACATTGCCTAGGCTGGTCTTCAACTCCTGGCCTCCCAAATGCTGGGATTACAGGCATAAGCCACCATACCTGGCCTTTTATTCACATTTTAGAAAGAAAAAGATTTATTTTCTACTGCTAAGAAATACCAGGGTAAGGGGTCCAGAAGTCACTGTGTCCATAATTGGAATAACATTGAATGCTAAGGGTGTTATAAACATAGTCAAAGAAAACTAGGAACACATCATCTCTGCTTACCTGCCCAGAATTCCTTCATCCTGATGTGGTCCATCCCCAATTTCTCAGAGGTACAGAGATATTTTTGAAGCCTTACATCTAAAACCAATAATGACAAGATTGACTTTGGAAGTCAAGCTGCCTGGGTTTGACGCTAAGATCCACTACTTGGTGATTGTGTGGGCAAGTGTTAATCTCCCTAAGTCAATGATTTTGTTTTTTTTTTGAAATGAGACAGAGTCTTGCTCTGTCACCCAGGCTAGAGTGCAGTGGCACTATCTCGGCTCTGCCTTCTGCGTTCAAGCAATTCTCCTGCCTCAGCCTCATGAGCAGCTAGGATTACAGGCACCCGCCACCACGCCTGATTAATTTTTGTATTTTTAATAGAGATAGGGTTTCTTTTTTTTTTTTTTTTTTGAGACAGAGTCTGGCTCCTGTTGCCCAGGCTGGAGTGCAGTGGCCGGATCTCAGCTTAACTGCAAACCCGCCTCCCGGGTTCACACACATTCTCCTGCCTCAGCCTCCGAGTAGCCTGGGAGTACAGGCGCCCGCCACCTCGCCCGCTAATTTTTTTTTTGTATTTTAGCAGAGACGGGTTTCACCGTGTTAGCCAGGATGGTCTCGATCTCCTGACCTCGTGATCCGCCCAGTCTCGGCCTCCCAAAGTGCTGGGATTACAGGCTTCAGCCACCGCGCCCGGCCTAGAGATAGGTTTCACTATGTTGGTCAAGGCTGGTCTCGAACTCCTGACCTCAAGTGATCCGCCCACTTCAACCTCCCAAAGTGCTGGGATTACAGGCATGAGCCACTGTGCCCGGCCCCTAAGTCAATAATTCTTAAGTTTTTTGGTCTCAGGGCTTTTTTATACGCTAAAACTTGTTGTATAGATCATATTTGCTTTATTAGAAATTAAAAGTTTAAAAAATATTTACTAATTCATTTAAAAGTGATAACCCTTATAGGATAACATAAATAACATTTTTGTGAAAAAAAATTTCAAAAATAATCATTTAGTGAGAAGAGTGGCATTGTTTCACATTTTTGCAAATCTCTTTAATATCCAGCATAATGGAAAAAAGCTGAATTCTCATACCTGCTTCTGTATACTGGATTCTCATCTTGTTTTAGTTGAAATATATGAAGAAAATGTGGCCTCATATTGATATGTAGTTAGAAAAGGGAGGGGTATTTTAATAGCCTTTTATGATCTTGCAGATAAGCTTTACTACTATACCAAAACTCAGCGAGTGGTGGTTTCTTAAAGGTTAGTTGCAATGTAGAATCTGATAACATGTTAGTGATCTTTTTGTACTCTGTTACATTAAAATCCTTTGGTCTTTGAATCTTTCCCTATGAACAGATCTTTCACCCATGCATGATGTTGTAACATCATGCACTGATCATTTAGAAAATATTGGTTCGCTGAGGTATGTGAATTTTCTAAATGTTACCGCATTGCATTACACAACGTCAGAAATATTTATTCATTAATATCCACACTGATCTCACCAGAAAAGTCTTGAGTATTGGAAAAGTGTCAAATGCGCAGTGACGGAGTTTGGATACAAGTTTTCTAAAATTCTGCTTTTCACTTGGAAGCTCAAATTTTATCCTTGGCAACAAAAACTATTTCTTGAAGCAACAGGCTGTCTCCCTTTATATTTTCAGAAAGACAAGTCTGAGCAACCCTAGTTTGTCAATCGTCCTTTGGTGTTTCATAAGAAGCGAGTTCAGCTCAAACTCAAAGCAGTGCTTTTCCTCCAGAAAAACATCATCACTGCAGTATGCAGCAGGAATGTTCTATGTGTGCTTTCCATTTCATTCCACAGAATATTAAAAAGATGTGTACTCAGCCAGGCGCGGTGGCTCACACCTGTAATCCCGGCACTTTGGGAGGCCAAGGCAGGTGGATCACCTGAGGTCAGGAGTTCAAGACCAGCCTGATCAGCATGGTAAAACCCCGTCTCTACTGAAAATACAAAAAATTAGCGGGGTGTGGTGGCAGGTGCCTGTAATCCCAGCTACTTGGGAGGCTGAGGCAGGAGAATCACTTGAACCCAGGAGGCAGAGGTTGCAGTGAGCCAAGATCACGCCATTGCACTCCAGCCTGCGTGACAAGAGCAAACACCACCTCAAAAAAAAAAAAAAATTTACTCAAGGGTAAAAGTTTAATAAAATTAATACTTTTTACTAGTCATCATGACATTCTTGAGTTTTTTGTTTTTTACTGTGAGCCTGCAGCAGTGAAAAGTACAGTAACTAGCAGTACCGTTTAGGACCACTCCCTTGATCCAAACCAGAATGCTGGGCATGTTGCACACCATTGCTTTGCTCCATTGGCAAAAATGTCAACAGAGTGACATTTTAGTCCCAGTTTTAGGATTAAGAAAACACGGTGGCTCACGCCTGTAATCCCAGCACTTTGGGAGGCTAAGGCGGGTGGATCACAAGGTCAGGAGATTGAGACCATCTTGGCTAATACGGTGAAACCCCATCTCTACTAAAAATACAAAAAAAAAAAAAAGAAAGAAAAATTCCGGGCGTGGTGGTGGGCACCTGTAGTCCTAGCTACCTGGGAGGCTGAGGCAGGAGAATGGTGTGAACCTGGGAGGCGGAGCTTGCAGTGAACTGAGCTCATGCCACTGCACTCCAACCTGGGCAACAGAGTGAAACTCCCATCTCAAAAAAAAAAAAAAAACAAAAAACAGTTTTGACCCTGAAAGGGTGTCAGGAACCCTAGGGATCCACAGACCACACTTTGAGAACTGCTGACCTAAAACCTGTGGTCACCTACCTCATTGGATTGTTTAGGGGATTATGTAAAATAGTAAAATTCAAGGAATGGTTCCTGACATATAGTAAGTTATATGGTATAATATAGTAAACGTTATACGTTTACTGTACATAGTAAATGTTAACTATTACTACTATTATAAATTGAAATATGTATATATGGGAAGAGAAGAAGGCTAGAGGGGACAGAAAGCCATCTAACATTTATTTAACATATTTTATATGTCATTATTCTAGGTGTTTTACGTCCATCCACATAAAACATCACGGTTGTTCAATCCACAAAAGAACCCTGAAAGGAAGTAAATCCTCCATTTTACAGATAAGAAAATAGGCTTAGAGAGATTAAATGTTTTATTCAAGGTCACAGGGCTAAAAGAGTAGCAGAATTCTCAGTCACTTGATTCTGCTTATCAGACACAGGAGTAGGACTTCAGGTTAGGAAGAAGGGACTAGAAGTTGACCAGGAGGGAGATCTACACTCTCAAGTTTAGGACAAAGAGAACTGCCTAAACCCTGCTGGCTTCATGTATTCATTTGAGAAGTGTGGATTTTAAAGTCTCGGCCTTCTCCCTTGTTCCTAAGAGGAAGCCCAAGAAGAGACATTCTGTTTTAGAAAACCACTGTCTGAGGAAGTGAAGGCATTGAATGAGTAGCCTTAGTATCTGACACTCTGAAGCCCATATGGAAGTATAACCATACTCTCAGAGAGGTGCAAGGAAGCATAGATCCCTCTGTTAACCAGCTGTCAGCTGACCTATAACTATCCTAGTGTCATTAACCTACACAAAAACTGGAGGTAATTAAGTATGAATTATTGCTGTTACAATCAAGCCATAATTTACACATCCAAATGGGTATTTTACTTTTCAAAGCTGTCCTCCTGGGGGTCTGTGTATTTAACTCTGCTGCTTCACTTAAAATGGACATGGAAATTCTCTTTCAGAATTGCATCTTCTTCCTTTCAACATAGTTTCAAATTTTAGAAGCAGCCACAAGTCGTTTGAATTCAAATATGATACCTAATTTGATTTAAGAATAGAACATAATTGGCTAATCTCAAATGTTAGGTTTTTGGAAAGAATTTAGTCAGTTCAGAATAAAACATGTTTTTCGCTTTTTGGTGTTGTTGAGCACCTATTTATTCAGGCATTGTTACAGCTGCTTGGTCCTTAAGAATTTATGTGAAGACCATTTTCAAACTGGAGTTCCTAAAATGCTTTGATTAAGGGGAGCATCACATTGAAATGAATGTACAGCATTGAAGGACATTGTATTGAGATGTCTAAGCCCGTGTATATTTGTAAAATTCTTACCACATTATAGTAACCTTGTATGTAACTTACTAGAATCCACAACTAAATCAATTCATATACAAAGTAAACATTTCTGAGTGTCAGGCACTATGGCAGATAGCAAAAATACAAAACCTAAACTGAAGGAGATATAAAGTCATGGAACACGGGCAAATCCATCTAACTAGGAACATATGAATGATTTAACAGGAAGGCACTATCTATTCTGTTACAGCCAAATCTTACTTTGGGTTTTTATTTTTAAACATCTAATTTGAGAATAGATGTATATTTACCACATGCATTGTTCTGGAAACTTAAAAAAGTTATATCCAGCGTAGGTGTTCTGGCACAGTCTCTGAGGGTGGAGCAGAACCAGCCATCAATCCTTTTTTCCACCCTCTGGGAGGTGGAATGTCTGTCTACACTGGGGGTTCAGTGGACCTAAGTTCTCGGTGAGGTACAACTTTGCCATACAGTACTGTTTATTTCTATTTGATTTGGATTTTAGAATATGAAGTGGCATCTGAATTGCTAGAATTTAGTAGTTTCTAGCATAGGAAAGAAAATCCACACGAGATCCTGCAAGCCAGATGATGCCCAATGTATCTAATTGCTAAACAAAGCAAAAGGCAGCAGCTTTGAACTATTAAAATACAGAATGTTTAAGTTACAAAATCCTACACACATTCAAACTGGGCAACAAGAGAGTCCTGTGATTAGCTCTACTCTCAGAGCCAGAGTCTGCAAGAGTAAGAAATGCTTCAGGAAGTCCCACCAGGCAGGGCTGAGGCCAAGGCCAATACCAGTTCTGAAGGCTGTCACTCCTTTCCAAGGGGTAGACCTTAGTAACACAGTCACCCAGTTGGTAGCGGAGCTGGAACTCAAACCCAGCCCACATTGAGCTTGAGGCGGGGGGATATTCTGTTCTACATGACATAAACAAGTATTGTCCCCAAGGGAGTCAGAACCCTGAATAAACAGAAAGAAGGGAAGGTCACTGACCCTACTTTGGGTTTCTCACTTCACGGCAAGAGACATACCATATATCTAGTATAGGACAACACAGGTACACGCAAAGCTTTAGTGCAGCTACACAAGGCTTGACCCGATATGCTGACACAAACCCCACAGAGGCCGGCAGGAGCTGGTAGAGCTGCTTAGCTTCCTCAGCGCTGTGGCGAAACACAGGCTGCCTTGCCCCACAGAGCATCTGGAAAGAAGATGTATGAGAGCGACCACATCAGGCAGTAAAAAGCAGACAGAGACAGTGGGGAGAAAAACAGCATGATGACACCTGGAAGAAGAAAAAGTGCAGACACTCAATTTCTAGAAAGCTGTCTTCTATGCTTTCTACCCTCTGCTCTCCTGTCCCCACCCTCCCATTCTTTATTTTTCACCCACAGTGCCTAAGAAACAAAAAGAGACAGGAGCCCTGTCTTCAAGTTCAGTTTAATAGAGATAGGTAAGTAACTAGAGAAGTATAGCCCAATGCAGTCTCAGGTTCCATTGTGTCAAATTCACATTAGAAGTTCCAGCCAAGAATAAATCTGAATTGCCTTTGTTAGGGAAAACAAAACAAAACAAGACAAAAACCGAAAAACTCTTGTCAGGAAAAAAAAAAAACTTCCTCATTGTTTTAAATTTAACATGTGATAATGACCAATGCAATATGGTATGTATGCAGAAAAGAGTTTACATGCAGGCCCGAGACTGCCATCCTCAGAAAGGCCTTCTTGCAAGGCTGGCCCTTGGCTGATGGCTGGAAACTTGAATAGTAAACAGTTCCCCAGACCAACATAAAACTTTCCCCAACTGGTAAGAGTGTCTCACTGTTCCTGGACTGTCCATATAAGCACAGTGGTAACACCTGCTTTCCTTCTGGGAGTCTGGAATTTTCGTATGTGGTAGGCACAGGGTGCTGACGTGACCATCCCCCAGTAAAATCTTGGGCACTGAGTCTCTGATCAGTTTCCCTGGTAGACAACACTTTATTGTATTATCACAATTCAGTGCTGAGGAATTAAGTGCATCTCGTGTGACTCTACTGGGAGTGGACTCTCTGAAGCTTGCACCTGGTTTCCCCTGAACTTTGTCCCATGCACCTTTTCCCTTTGCTGAGTTTGCTTTGTATCCTTTTGCGGAAATCAATCTTAGCCACGAGTACAACAACAAGCTGAGTCCTGTGAGTCTTCTCAGAGGTGGTCTTGGGGACTCCCAACACAATTTGCCTCTCAGATTCGCCACCAAAAGACAAAAGAGCACTCACGTTTGTGGAATATTTATTTTGCACTAGACATTCTGCTAGATACGTATATTTTTTTCATTTACACCTCACGATAATCCCGTGGTTTAGAACTAAGTCTGTTTTTCATAAGAAGAAACAGAAGTAACCCATGCAAGGTCCTGATTCAAACCCACTTCTGTTTGACTCTTAAAAACTAGACACACTGCCTCAGGGAGCTCAAAAAGAGGACAAAGAGAGTATGAGCCAATGGTATTTCCATGGGAATGATCACCATGTATCCTGTAAGAGAAATCAGAACATATGATCTGATAGAAGACCGCTTCTAGGAGTAAGAAGCAGTTAACGATACGCATGGGCATTTTGGAATACTGCATTTCAAGAATAGTCATTGATCTGTTGAGGCAAAAAGACAATCGTGAAAACCAGAGTTGTCTTGGAAAGTACCTGCCCAGTGCGTTGGCTCATGCCTGTAATCTCAGCACCTTGGGCAGCCAAGGCAGGAGGATTGTTTGAGTCCAGGAATTTGAGATCAGCCTGGACAAAAGAGTGAGACCCCGTCTCTACCGTATATATATGATACTGGGGTACTCTCTGTAAAAAAAAAAAAAAAAAAAAAAAAGTATATCCTAAGGTCTCAGAGTGCTGGTCACAGGCCAGTTCTCAGACGTACGAAGCTCTGTGGGGTAGAAGGGACCTCAGTCTAAGAAAGCAACTGGCTGCACTCCAAATAAAAGGAATGTCCACAGCAGCCATTTTGAAATCTACCCAGTAGGGCTCTGGTATTAACTGTTGTCAAAATCTGTAAGGTGCAGTTTCCTCCTTTACTCACACAGCAGGACAATCTGAGGAAGGCTGAGGCCAAGTATGTGGTTTACTTTGAGACAAGGGGGATCAGTAGTATCCATAGGAGTGAAGAACACTAAGAAATACTACCGTTATGAGATAGGAGAAGGGGAGGTGGAGAAGAAGAACGAGGCTAGAAATGGACACATCTGTACCAAAGGATTTATATTTATTATCTCATTTAATCTCAGTAATCCTGCAAAGTAGGGATTAGTGGCTTCGTTTTACAGATGAAGAAAATTGAGCTCAAAACAGTGAGGTATTAGCCCAAGTTCATACAACTAATATGTGCTAGAGTTAGAGCTTGGGCTCAGGTCTTCCTGAGAAGCTTCCAAACCCAGAAGCTTCTCACCACCATTCTGCCTCTGCCACCTAAGGCGTAGGAGGAGCCAGCTCCTGGAACTTGGATAGGGCTGTTGGTGCTAATGTTACAAAAGGTATAAACCTTAAGAGAAAGGTCAGGATGAAACCGAAGACCCTATAAACTAGAGTGGACTCACACGGGAATAAAGGAAGGAACTCTGTATCCCCATAGATGTTTGTCTTGTTTACAGGAGCACATTTTAAGAGAAGAAAAGCTGATATTCCTTGAAGGAAGCCCTAAATCAGGGGAAGCTCTAGGGAGACTTCTGCAAGGTGCCAGTGTGACCAGGAACTCAGGGCCTGGAACCCAGTGCTCAGTTACTTCAACCCCAACCCTAAGAGTCATCCATGTCTCCTCCTCCTTCCTCAATGTCAATTCTATTTCCAACATTTATCTCAAATCCATTCACTTCTCTTTATCTCCACTGCCACCATCACCTCTCATCTGAACAAAAAGTTTGTTTTCCTCCTTACATTCTCAGGCCTACAATCTATTCTCCACATTGCAGTCAAAGTGATCATTGAAAACTGCTGCTCCAGCCATGCCAGTTCCCTGCATAAATCCCTTTAGAAGCTCCTCATTTGCCTTTGGTCTCAAATCCCAAATCCTGCCAGGTCTGCTCACCTCATGGCCTCAGTCTTTGTCACTGGCTGTCTCAGCAAGTTTCAGCCACATTGCTCCACTAATGTGTCCAGCCCCTGTGGCCTCAAAGCCATCACAACTGTTCCTCTTCCTGAACCTCCTGAACCTCCCCATCCCCACCTGACCACTCTTCTTGTAGGTCTCACTTAAATGACACCTGCTTAAGGATCCTTTCCTTCCCTTCAGATCATCCCAGCCTGAAGTAGGTCACCCTCTGACACTCTCTCAGAGCACCATGCACTTGCATAATACATACAGTAAAACTATGTTTCTAGTTATTTCTGCCATCATTTGTTTGGTATCTGTCTCCCCTGTGATCAGGCTCTAGATTCAGAGGCAGGGACTGTTTGCCTAGTTTACCAATTTGATTTCCAGTACCTGGCACACGGGGGGTGCTTCCTAAATCTCTTTTGAACTTATTAACATTTAGCAAATAGATACTGAGCACCTACCATGTGATTGACACACTTCTAGGCACTGGGGATTATATTAATAGCATGAATAAAAGAGAGTCCTCTATTGGGGGGTTGGTTTAGTGTTTATAGACAATAAGAAAACTAGTAAGTATGTCAGATGATCATCAGTTCTATGGGGAAAAATAAAGCAGAACAAGGGAGATAGAAAAATGCTGGGGTAAGGTACAGTGGCAATAAGCACAGTGATAACAAACGGGCCATAGTGACATTTTCACTCACCTCCTATATAAACCAATTTTTTCCAGTTCTCAGACTCCAGGATTTTGTCATATGGATAGTAGCTCTGGTCCATCATGAAGAGAATCATGAGTGAGGCCATGCAGCAGAGGATGAACCTGTTGCCTTTGGTCAGAAGAGAGGTGGAAGCCAAGATGCAGGAAGCATAGGGGCAGGGTAGACCCTTGTATGTGGAGGGGACTCCTGCCGGGAAGAACACTGGAGATTAGCTGCTTCCCTCTGCTCTAAAGATACCAAAATGAAGCAGGCCCCTCTCTCTTTGGGTATTCCCCTACCCAGGATACAATATTCCCTTAAACCCAAAGGCAGTGGCAGGCTGAAAATCATTTATTCACAAAGATGATGCATGGGTTTTACATTGGGTTTCCAAGGGAAAGCAGACAGCCAGCTAGGACCAGGGTGTGCCCTGGCTCCTAGGAAGTCTCTGCTTTGAGACCTGCTAGTCTAAGTCCTGTGCTGTATCTGCTCTCCCTCACTTTGTGACCTTAGGCAAGACAATTTCTCTCACTGGAGCATGGTTTCTCCATCTGTTTTCAGGAACTAGAATATACCTCCAGTGCTAGTCCAAGAATCAGTGTGCTCCATCCAAATGTCACAGGTCATGCATTGAGAAAGAGGTACAGCTGCTCCAAGAAACAAAAGCCCTTGCCTCCCAGCCCAGGGCTCTGCCAATGCAGCCTGCAGCCTTCAATGAGCATGAGGCATGGGGCATGCAAGGAGGAAGGAAGAGGAGCTCCAAAAAAGGAGTCAGTAACTGCACCCCAGGCTTCTGGCATCCGACAGCTCCCCGTTCTGTGCTCCCCTGCCCTCTGTTCTAAGGCAACCTTGGTTCCACTCACCAGGTGAATAAAAGCACAAATGGAAAGAAGCAGCTGACACATAGATGATGGCCAGGATCCCACTCAGAAGTCCATCCACGCCTAGGAGCAGAGCAGAGGCCAGGCCGAAGGTGGTGAAGACGGCAAAGTCATTCAGCTCAGCTCCTGCCCCAGAGGGCCCAAAGTTAGAAGAACTTATACTCCCATGTCTTGCACCTTAGTCCCCCTCTAGTAGGGGAGCTGGGGTAGTGACAAGAGGGGTCCTGAGGTCCCAGAAAGCAACAGCTGCTCCCCTGGGGGGCAGTCTGTAGATCAAAGACCAGGATTTCCTCCTGGCTCTGCTTTGTGCTGGCCAGTGGCCCTGGGCAAGTATTTCCCTCTCAGATCTTAGTTTTCCTATCCCTTAACATGCAAGGGTTGGGCTACAATCAGATACAAACTGATAAGCTATGGGACTTTTTTCAAGCTAAATCTTACATGGAAGCATTTTACTGTATTTTAAACCAGCTGCTCTGCTGGTTTAATTTTCATCTCCTCTCTGCCAACCTCCTCTCACCCCACCCCTACCCACTTCCACTCCAATACCTGGATGGGTCCAGAACAGGGAAGCAGGGCAGATGAGAAAACTGAAAGCCAGGACAAGGACTGCCCAAAGGTCAATAAGTGAGCCAGCAGAGGAGCTGGAGCTGGACTGCGGGGCTCTCGAACTCCTGCTCCAGGGCTGCTGCTGCTGCTCTCGGGGGGGTGTGAACAGGGGTGGATGCCTGATGAAGGCCTGCGGGATGTTAGAGGATGGACGAAGGGGTGACCCCAGATGGATGCTACTGGGGACAAGGATTAGGGGCCTGGGGCCTGAACTCACCCCATTTGGAGCAGATGTTGATGTGGCTGGTCATTGCCCTGACTGCCATGTCCAACAGGAAGCTGACCAGGAGCATCCAGGAGGCATAGTGGCGTTTCCTAAAGTGTAGGCCAGCAAGCCCGAATGGGGAAGCACTTTCGCAGTCTCCACTGGAGACTCTCCCCCGCCCCCCATTAGTATATTAGTATACACTAATATACTTCCTACATACCTCCCACACTTGCACACACACACACATCCCTTCATGTCCCCCACACTCACATCCTTTCTGATATATGCTGCTTTTCACACCACACATGCACACACACACGCCTACATCCCTCACAAACTCAATCTACAGTCTTAAAGGCGTGCCCCAAATCCCCTAGAACATCACTGAGATCCCTTCCAACTCTAACTTCCAGGCATTTTTGATGGCACAGGGGACCTAGGTTCTAGCCCAGCCTCTGCCACCATCTCTCTATGAATTATTAGCTAAATCACTACCCCATCTCTAGACTTGTTCCCCCATCTGTAAAATGAGGAGTGTGTGCTAAATGATTTGTTTAATAGATACAAACCTATTCAGATGACCTGTTTCTCCTTGTGTGAGTTTTGGTAACTTATGTCTTTTTTTTTTTTTTTTTTTTTTCATCTAAGTTATCAGATTTGTGGGCGTGGCCAAGTTCTTACACCGAAAGTATTTAAAAATCTCGGCTCACTGCAAGCTCTGCGTCCAGGGTTCACGCCATTCTCCTGCCTCCGCCTCCCAAGTAGCTGGGACTACAGGTGCCCGCCACCACGCCCGGCTAATTTTTTGTATTTTTAGTAGAGATGGGGTTTCGCCGTGTTAGCCAGGATGGTCTCGATCTCCTGACCTCGTGATCCACCCGCCTCGGTCTCCTAAAGTGCTGCGATTACAGGCATGAGCCACTGCGCCCGGCAACTTATGTCTTTTAAGGGATTGATTATTTTCAGCTACGATATCAAATTTGTGGGCAGAGGCTTGTTCATAGCATTCCTTTATTATACTTTTAATGTCTGTGGAATCAGTAGTAATGACCCTTGTTTTATTTCTGATATTGGTAATTTCTGTCTTTTCATTTTTTTAACTTGGTTAGCTTGGCTAGGGATTTATCGATTTTATTGATCTCAAACAACCAGCTTTTGGTTTCATTGATTTTTCTCTATTAATTTCTTGTTTTCAATTTCTTTGATTGCCACTCTAATTTTTATTTTATTTTTTGAGATGGAGTCCCTCTGCTGCCCAGGCTGGAATGCAGTGGTGTGATCTCCGCTCACTGCAACCTCTGCCTCTCAGGTTTGAGCGATTCTCCTGCCTCAGCCTCCCAAGTAGCTGGGATTACAGGTATGTGCCACCACACCCGGCTAATTTTTGTATTTTTAGTAGAGATGGTGTTTCACCATGTTGGCCAGGCTGGTCTTGAACTCCTGACCTCAAGTGATCCACCTGCTTCAGCATCCCAAAGTGCTGGAACTACAGGCATGAGCCACTGCACCCGGCCTAATTTTTACTTTTTACTTTTTATGCTTACTTTGGATTTAGTTTGCTTTTCTTTTTCTAGTTTCCTAAGGTTAAAGCTTAAATTATGGATTTTAAATCTTTCTTTTTTGAATGTATGCATTCAATGAAATAAATTTCCCTCAAAGCAAAGCACTGCTTTCCCTGCATCCTATAAGTTTTGATAAATCGTGTTTTCATTTTTTTAGTTCAAAACATTTTTAATGTTTCGTGAGACTTCTTCTTTTATCCATGTGTCATTTAGAAGTGTGTTGTTTAATCTCCATATATTTCAGGATTTTTCAGCTGTCTTTCTGTTATTGACTTCTAGTTCATTTCCATGTGGTCTGAGAGTATGCTTCTTTTAAATTTGTTAAGGTATGTTTTATGGCCCAGAATGTGATCTGTCCAAGTGAGCTGGAGAAGAATGTGTACTCTGCATGGTTGGATGAAGTACTCTATAGATGTCCATTTTATCCAGGTGACCAATGGTGTTGCTGACTTCAACTATGTCTTTGCTGATTTTCTGCCTGCTGGATCTGTCAGTTTCTGATAGAGGGGTGTGGAAATCTCCAACCTTGATAGTGGACTCATCAACTGTCCTTGCAGTTCTATTAGTTTTTGTCTCATGTATTTTGATGCTTTAAATTATTTCCATGAGCTCTTTCAGATCCCACATTCTTGATTCTGTGCCTCCATCCAGCACCTGTCCCCAGGTCCCTCTAAAAGCTGCCACCACAGCTCCAAGCAAACCTGCCCTGAGAGGCCCATTCTCAAGTCTGCACCCGGATTGCAATGCTTAGGCAGCCCAGAAGAAGCAAAGGGCCTGACCTAGACCTCAGCTGTCTCCAAACAACCACAGCATTTCCTTTGTTTAGACCCAGTCCTATGTATCTAAAGGGGATTGAAGCTAAATAAAAATACTCAGGGCACCATTATGGCAAAAAAACAACACTCCCAGATAATTAGGCTGAACTAAGAAGACAGAAGTTTTCTGGGCTGGGCACAGTGGCTCACGTTTGTAATCCCAGCACTTTGGGAGGCCTAGGCAGGTGGATCACTTGAGCCCAGGTGTTTGAGACCAGCCTGGGCAATATAGTGATACCTCATCTCTAAAAAAAACAAAAAACAAAAAAAGTTTCTTTAAAAAAGAGATTTTCTGCTGTAGGTGTGCCCTACTTTATTATAGTCGAAAAACCAAGACTTTAGAGAATCACAAAAATTTCCAGCTGCAAGGGAGCTTAAACATCATCAGGTAAAGTCATCTTATTTTATGGATGAGAAACAAATCCAAAGAGAAGTCACTTGCTGATGGTTATAGACAATCGAGTAGATTAGGAGGATGTTACCTGCATCATAAAGGATTTATCTTTAAAGGACTGATATCCCAAAAACATTGAAATGGGATTCAACTTACAGAAATAGAATTTGCTTACAACATTTTGGGGGAACATATGCATGTCTCAGACCTTCCAGAACAGTGCTAATTTCAAATATTCTGCCAGGTCGTATGATCTAAGAATTAGAAAATATGAACTGTGGCCTACCCAAAGATTGTATAAAGGCCACCAGAACAGAATCTCTTGACTTTCTCATAAAAACCATTCTAGACTGCCACAGCTGGAATGAACCGGTACAGTTGAGTCTGGGATCTTGGCTCTTTGACTCCTAAGCCACTGCACTTTCCCCGGGTACACTGTGGATTCCTGTGCCTCAGTGCCCGCTCTCTAGACTCTCCCTCTCCTTCCCTCATGCCATTGGCTCCAGCTCTTGGCTAAGAGCTCGCTGAGCCCCAGACCTACCTGCTGAAGCTGAAGATGACGGAGAAGAGCCCCAGGACCATGTTGGCCAGAGATAAGGCATTGGTAACATCCTTCCAGGAAACCTCATTTATCTGGGAATGGCTCTGGTCATGGCTCAGGAAGAAACTGGTACCCTTACCTGGGGCCCAAGAGAGAGGGGCAAAGGGTTCCCAAGGTCACGGAGTCCCAGAAGAGGTTCCCAGGGACCTGTTCCACTAGACCTCATCCCCAAATGGCACCCTCCCTACATTCGGTTTCACTGGCTGGACTAGACTAAGGGAGACAGGAGGTAGATAAAGGAGACTCAGGAGATGAAGACAAAGGTGCTGAGGATCCAGCGTCTTGGAAAAGCTCAATAGCAGAGTGGGTGAACCAACACAAGCATAGTTTCCACTCCCTCTCTGGCTGCACCTTTGCCCTGCAGCGCAGACATCCCTCCAGTCCATATGCCAACCATCCTGGAGCCCCATGGCCCAGAATGCAGGGGATATGGGCCCTTCTCCCATCTGAGAGGTGGGCCCTTGTCACTGACCAAGGATTGGCCTGAGAGAGAAGTAGTGCCAGGAAGTCCTGTTGTCCCACAGTCCAAGCTCACTCCTCCTGAAGCACAGGGCTGTAATGCCTTAAGGTCCTGGTTCTGACAGGCCCCAATCAGAACAGCAGGCCTACTTCCCACAAGGGAAGAGATGACAGATTAAAAATGAATGTGTAGCTGGACACGGTGGCTCATGCCTGTAATCCCAACACTTTGGGAGGCCAAGGCAGGTGGATCACCTGAGGCCAGAAATTCGAGACCAGCCTGGCCAACATGTTGAAACCCCGTCTCTACTAAAAATACAAAAATTAGCTGAGTATGGTGGTGCATGCCTGTAATCCCAGCTACTCAGCTTGAACCTGGGAGGCAGAGATTGCAGTGAGCTGAGATCACACCACTGCACTCTAGCCTGGGTGACCGAGCAAGACTCTGTCTCAAAAAAAAAAAAAAAAAAAAAAAGGAATGTGTACAACACTGAATAGTTCACAAAGATCATTTCACCATGTTCCATTCCCATGTCTGCTTCTCAGAGCCTGACAACCTCAGGAGATGGTGCTAGAATTCTCCCCTATTTTATGAATGAGGAAACTACGGTTAAAAGAAAGGAAGGTATTTGCTCAAAGTCACACAGTAAGTAGAACCAAATCCCATCTGATTCTAAATCTGGTGTTTCTTCTGCTGGAGGCATAGATTTTAGCAGGAGGAGGTATATGGGATGTGGCAGGGAGGGAGCTCGATGGCCAGGTCTGCGAGACAGCAGCAGCCTCCCTGTGTGTGCGGCACCGTCCAGCCTAGGTCCCACAGCGCTCCCAGTCTCTCCCAGTCTCTCCCACAACAGGGAATTGGCTGGCCCTGCCCATCTTCACAGCCTGTCTTATCTCTGCTTTAACTCTAAGACCACATTTGTACACCTTACACATAATCTGCTTGTGCAACTGAGTCTCTTGGAGAAAGAGCCCCATTCCTCCTCAAAACTGAGAAGCCCCACTGGTTGGGGCAAATGTATCAGCCACAAATAGATCCTGCACTTGAGTAAAATAAACAAGCTTCAAGGTGTTCCCAGATCTGTCTTCTCATTTAATCCTCACCCATTTCAGAGGTGAGGATTAATCTCACCTCCAGCTCTGCCTCCATCCAGCCCCTCTGTTCAGCCCCAGGCCCATCTGGTCTGGACAAGAACTGAGACAAACCATGGTCCTTTCTCATTAACCCGCCACAAAGATGCCAGCAGCTGGGAGGGCTGACTTGGAGTTTGGGACTAGAGTTTATCAGGACAGCACTGCTGGGCTCACTGCCTCAGTGGGCCAGCCTCACTCACCAAAGGGGATCAGTAGCTACATGGCCAGAGCCATTGGGATTCCTAAGACCTTCTTATGCCAGAGTCCCTCCAAACCTACGGCAGGAAGCAATGCAAGCCAGGGAAATCTGGGAGGGGAAGGGGACAAAGGACTTGCTGCATAATCCCTCCCCGTGAACCTGCTGTAGTGGTCTCTCCTGGGTCTCTGGGATGACCCCAGCAAGATCAAACATCCCAGTGTCTGCTGCTCAGAGTCAGCAGGTGCCCAGGGTCTGTCTACCAGCTGTCAAGCATTGCTGCTGCCTCTGTGCTACTTCACAGCTGCTTAATTTTTAATTAATGGTCAATTGTCTAGTATATTATCTCTTTCGTTATCTCCTCCATTCACAAACCACTTTCACATTTAGGATTTCCACTGGCCCTGTGAGCACTGTCAGGCAAGGGTTCTAATCCCTACTTTCCAGGTAAAGCAAGGAAGACTCAGATGGGAACAACTTAGCTCAGGGTCACACCAGAAGTGGCAGAACAAAACTTACAATTTTGCCTTAAGTGTTCTTTCCCCTGTGCTCTGCTGTCTACCAACCAATAGGACTGAGCATTGTATTGGTTATATGCTGTGCCTGAGTTGGGTGCTGGTAGAAACCTTGGTCCCTGCCATCACAGAGTTTACAACCTATCCAAGGAAACGAGTCTTTTGCATACATGTGGAGACTTAGACTCTATTCATAGTGGTACCTTATCTTACAGATGGGGAAACTGAGGTTTCAGGAGAGTTAAGTGACTTGTCCAGTAAATGGTGGAGCCAGGATTTGATTTGGGTCTCCTCTTTCCCAATTAAATGCTGTTTGCAGCAGAATGCACAAGTCCCAGGAGTGAAAGGATGTGGAACTGAAAATAAGGGCTATAGAAGACAACAGAAATAAGGAACCACCCGCCATTCATTCAGCAAATGTTTGGCCAGGGGCAAGATGTGGTGCCTGGTGCTTGGGACACAGAGAAGATTAAGACCAAGGGACACAGTTTAGCCACAGTACCTAACCCTGCACAGAAAAGAGGCGACCAGGCTACTAAGGGAGCACCGAAAAGGGGCTCAGCCTGCCAGGAGGTGAGAAGGCTCCCAGGAGGGGTGAGGGCTGAGGCTTGGCATAGCACCAGACTGCAGGTGATCTGGTCACTCCCCAGCTTTTTGAATGCCGTCAGGATGGAGTCCAACTCCTGTGTTTGGTATGCCAGCTCTGCTCAGCTCTCCCAGCTTCCTCTCAGTCCTCCCCACCCTTCTCAGACCCTCTCTTTGGCCTTGGGTTGCGTAGTGCTCCTCTTTGGGAAGCCCCTCTGACATCCCCCACCCCGCCCCGAGCATGTTAGGTGTCCCTCATCTGTATGGTTTCATCTTCTTGTGCTTACCATGTGATACTTGGCACTCTGTTTTGGCAGAGTTTTGGCACCGCCTACCCTGGGGTTCCTATAGGGGATGCAATTTGAGTGCTGGCCGAGGTCCCTGTGCCCAGTATGAGACCTGACAATAGAAGTTGTTCTGTGTTTGTTAAATTAACATCACAGGTCACTCTGGTGCTTCCCTGAGGCCCTCTGGTTGCACCAAATTTATTGACCCCCCATCTAACCCTGCCCAATGTGGCCTCCAAGAAGCCTTCTCAGATGAACGCCCAACAGTCCAGCCCCTTCCACAAACCCAGCAACTACCCAGTTCTTATGATCTTCTACTTACTCATTTTTTAAAATGCTGTTTATTTATTGCTGATGGCTGCTCTGTGTCAGGCCTTGTGTAGGGGGGGATGGGGAGAAGAACAAGAGCCAGGCTGTACCCTCCAGCAACTCAGAGTCTGGTAGAGGAGGCAGCTGTGTGTAGGGACAAGTGTAATGTTGGACAAGGGGATGTGCCAGCTGTTGTGGAGAGACTAAGTCTGGGGTGGGGCAGAGGAAGGTTCCACTCCTGTGGTGACATTTTTCAGGGTCTCTAAGGATGAACAAAGAATTAGGAGGGGCATTCTTGGCCCAGGGAATGAGCCGCAGGTGCGGAAGCACGATGAGGAGCCTGGATCCCTGGATCCTGGAAGAGAGGGGTGACCAGAGGTGACACTGGCAGGTAGGCTGCAGGGGGTGGTCGTGCAGACATGACCTGAGTGGCGGCCCGTGGCGGGCACTGTGCTGTTCAGTAAGGGAGCAGAGTCTTGGTCAGACACGGGCAGGGAGCGCAGGGCGGCTTTGAGGGGACAAACTACAGAAAAGGAAACCGGCCAGGAGACGGGAGGGGGTGAAGGGGGGAGAGGGGTGGGGCGGGGGGAGCGTGGACGTGAGGAGGAGAAAAGCAGAGCTGTGACAGTGGGGCTGGAGAGGAGGGGAGAGTTGAGTATGGCTCTGAGGTTTCTAACTGAGTGGTGGGGCGGCGCCTCCGCGGAGTGAAATCATCCAGGCGGACTCTCCAGCAGGTGACACGCGTGGCAGACACGGCAACGCCGCTCATGCCAGTTCCAGACCCTCTCCCCTCCCAGCCCCCGCTCCTTTCCTGGAGGCTGGAAACCGTCCCCGGCCTCTGGGGACGGGACGTGGTCCCCTGGCCCACTCTGGCTGTCCCAAGGCTGCCCAGGCCGGGCTCCAGCCGCTACCACACCGGGAAGATGGAGCTGGGCTGCTCGCCAACAGCACCCGGGCAGCGGCGCTTCTTGTCCCTTCCACGCGGCCGCGGAGGCTCACCTGGGGGCTCACCCTGGGGACAAGGCATTCCTACATGAGATGGGGGTCCGCCCTTCTGCCCCGTTTCCTGTGCGGTGGAGGGGGCCAGCCCTGAAGAGGAGAGCCTCTTGCTCCCACCCTGGCTCTTAGCTCACAATCCCCAGAGCAGGGGAGGGGTTGCGGGTCTGTAGTCAGGGAGAAGGGCCTCAGTTTCCAGGGGAGTCCAGGTCTTGTAGTAGGGGCGGCGGGGAATGGAGGAGTCCCGGGGGAGGGGACGTCTTCTCTACCTGAGTGAGGCTGGGAAGGCTTCATGGTGGAGACAGCGGCCCCGGCGCGTGGGCCTGGAGTGGGGCGGGAAGTGCGCTGGGGAGGCGAGGCTGTGCCGGGACGCTGGGCCCAGCCTCTGCGGGGCCCCTAGAGGGTAAGCTCCACTCGGGCAGGGCTGCTTGTACGTTTGCTTCGCTGCTGTTCGCTGTGCCTATAAGAAGGGCATAGGCACATAGGAATACTATTTGGATGAATGACAAGCTAAGGAATTTGCACTCAATTCCTGAAGAAAAGTTTTTAAGTAGGAAGGTGACATGGTCAGGTTGTTTCAGGAAGACTAACCTGGCAGCCACTGCGGAGGAAGGATCTGCAATCCTGCAGGCCAGGAGGCAGATTAGCAACAGACGGGATGGGAAGAAGGAGCCCCCTCAGGAGCCCATGTGAGATGGACTCCCAGGGGTGAGAGCGGCGAGAGGGAGGGGATAAGAGCTTCTCAGAGGTGACTATCTTTGGCAGTTAGGCTGACAGAGTGTTACACAAAGAAACTTTTTGGTATTGGGTAAGGATTTCAGGCACCGGTTCTCAGATACGGCCCCATCCTCACCAGCCCACCGGAAGCAACACTAGGGCAGGGATCACTGTGAGGACCCCACAGGAGAATATAAAAGGGCAAGGGAGCTAGAAGGTCAAGTGACACTTTGCCTCTCCTTGCAGCCAGCCCGGGAAAGAGGAGTGTAAGACCGAGCATGTTCTGAGGGGAACACCAGGCAGCAAGTACTGGGCTACATGTTGTACAGACATTCTCATCATCTCACTGGAACTTGTCCGCTACCCTGAGGTTAGTGTTAGCATTCCCATCCTACAGAAGAGGAAATAGGGGATCAGACAGCTGATTCTACTGGAGAATACGCCATTAATAATTAGTGGAGCCGAGACCTGAAAACAGCGATACCAAAGTCAGACCTAGGGTGTGTGAGAAACCAGGCGGAGGCGACAAAAGGTGTGCTACACACCCCAGCCTGAGTCAGGCCAGCTTCCTTTGATCATCTATGTGTTTCTCTTCATTGCTCCCTGCCATGTGGCCCATTAAAGTGGCAAATTAGCCTGGCGCGGTGGCTCACGCCTATAATCCCAGCACTTTGGGAGGCTGAGGCGGGCAGATCACGAGATCAGATCAAGACCATCCTAGCCAACATGGTGAAACCCCCCCTCTACTAGAAATTTAAAAAAAAAAATTAGCCAGGCGTGCTGGTGCATGCCTGTAGTCCCAGCTACTTGGGAGGCTGAGGCAGGAGAATTGCTTGAACCCGGAGGCTGCAGTGAGCCGAGATTGCATCACTGCACTCTAGCCTGGGCGACAAAGCGAGATTCCATCTCGAAAAAAAAAAAAGAGTGGCAAATTAAAAATTGTAGCATAATGATTATACCAGCTTACCTTTAAACCAAGTTTACATTCCAGCGCTAACACTTACAAGATGTATAAATGTGAACAAGTTACTTTTTCTGAACCTGTTTCCTAATCTGTAAAATGGGATTGTTGTCAGAATTAAATGAGATTATATGCTTGGCACAGAGTAGAAGCTCAATTATTAGCATTATTAATCTAAGGATATGATCATGTATCTATTAGCCTGGACATCCCCAAAGTTTCCTTCAGGAGAGGGGAAGGAAGCAGGGTAGCTGAGAAAGATACCCCCTACCAGAAGTTTCTAGCTTTCCTCATTCTGGATCTCACAGGAAGTACAGAACAGGAACAGTAAGTTAGGCTACTTACACTTGTGCTAATACGGTAGCCAGCAGCCACAAGTGGCTACTGAACACTTGAAAGGTGGCTAGTCCGAATTGAGATGTGCTGTAAGTATAAAATACACACCAAAGTTTGAATACTTAAAGAATGTAAAATAATTTTTTTTTAGTAAATTGTTGAACTGCTAATAGTTTGGATATGCTGGGTTAGATAAAATGTATTTTATTTATTTATTGAGACAGGGTCTCACTCTGTCACTCAGGTTGGAATGCAGTGACATGATCATAGCTCAAAGCAGCCTTGACCTTCTGGGCTCAAGCAATCCTCCCACCTCAGCCTCCCAAGAAGCTGGGACCACAGGCACACGCCACCATGCCTGGCTAATGTTTGTATTTTTTGTAGAGATGAGATCTCCCTATGTTGGCCAGGCTGGTCTTGAACTCTTAGGCTCAAGCGATCCTCCTGCCTCAGAGTCCCAAACTGCTGATATTATAGGCATGAGCCACTGCACCCTGTGATAAAATGTATTCTTAAAGTTAATTTCACTTTTTACTTTTTGATGTAGCTACTGGAAAAATTTAGATCACACATGTGGCTCACATTGTACTTCTATTAACTGCATTGACTTGGATCCTTTGCAGGATATAGGTACAGAGCTACAGATGTCCATCCATTGATTTATTTGATTTATTCTTTTTTTTTTTTGAGGTGGAGTCTCACTGTGTCACCCAGGCTGGAGTGCAGTGGCGCAATCTTGGCTCATTGCAACCTCCGCCTCCCAGGTTCAAGCAATTCTTGTACCTCAGCCTCCTGAGTAGCCAGCATTACAGGTGCCCGCCACTACACTTGACTAATTTTTATATTTTTAGTAGAGATGGGGGTTTCACCATGGTGGCCAGGCTGGTCTCAAACTCCTGACCTCAAGTGATCTCCCTGCCTTGGCCTCCCAAAGTGCTGGGATGACAGGCATGAGCTACCATGCCTGGCCCACTTACTTATTCATTGTTAAGAGTATTTATCATGCGCCAGGCACTATTTTAGATGCTAGAAACAGCAGTAAACAAGACAGTCTCTGTCCTCACAGAACTTATAACCACAGAACTTATAAACAGAAGCAAAACACACATCATTTCTGGTTGTGCTAAGTGCTGTGGAAAACAAAGCAGAATCAGAATCACTTTAATGTGAGAAGGGTTGGTATTTCTGATAGGGTAATCAGGGAAGTGGTATTTCAGCAAGGACCTAAAGGATGAGAAGACACAAACCTGCAAAGATCTTGGAGGCAATGCTCCAAACAGATGAGACAGCAAATGCCAATGAGCAGCAATGAGCTTGGTGTGTGGGAAGAACAGCAAGGTCAGCAAAGCAGGAACATGCTGAGTCCTGAGAGTGGCAGATCATATAGAATCTAGGGAAGAAATGAGAAACTCTGGGATTTTTTTTTTTTAACAGAGGTGCAATCTGGTTTGTAGTTTTAAAAGATGATGTTGACAATCTCTGTGGAAGCAGGGAGACAAGTTAGGAGATTACTGCATTGTCCAGGCTGGACATGTTGGTGGCTTGGACTAAGGGGGAAAGGGGTGAGGTGAAGAGAAGCAGTCACATTTGGGATACATTTTGAAGACAGAGCTGGGACTGCTGACTGGTATGAGGAGAACAAGAAGAATCAAGAATGACTTGGGTTCTTGGCTGCTACAACAATGTGAGACAGGTGCTGATGGAAAGAGAGAGGCCTGGTGGTGAAACAGGTTTTGGGGATGAACTCAAGAGTTTAGATTTGGACACATTAAATTTGTAATGACTACAAGTCAAGTGGAGACAGCAAGTAAGGCTGTTGGACAAACAAGTGTGCATGAAACTTGGGGACTGATGAGGGCTGTAGGTATGTATGCGAGTCAGTAGTGTGTGGACAGCATTTAAAGCCTGGGGAATGGATTAGACCACTTACTAGAGATAAAGAGGAGAGGGCCACAGACTTGGCCTCAGAATGTAGATGTCAGGAAGAGGAGGATCAGGACACAGAAAAGGTACAGTCAGTGAAGTAGAGAAAAGCAGGAGATGATAATATTACAAATCAAAATGAAAAAAAAAGCTTTCAAGTACAGACTGCTCCACTCAATCAAATGCTGTTTAAGACTACAGAAATGAAATTTTTCCAGGCACGTTGTAGCTCCTTCCTCCCAAGCTCCAGCTCCTTAAAGGAATGAATGAACCCTATCTTCTGATGGGGGTTCTATATCCAGGCTTTAATGCCAGAGATATGGGCTCAATTGCTTGTAAGTTGTATAAGTTGTATGACCTTAAATAAGTTACTTAACTTCTCTACACCTTGATATACATCCTCTACATACCTATCACTAAACGCCCAAGTGAACTACTCCGGTAGTGTCTCACATAAACATCTCATTCTGCTTAAGGCCAGGAATTTGAGACTAGCCTGGGCAACATGGTGAGTCTTCATCTCTATAAAAAATTTTTTTAATTAGCTGGACGTATTGGTGCATACCTGTATTTCTAGCTACTTGGGAGGCTAAGGCAGGAGGATCGCTTGAGCCCAAGGGTTCAAGGCTGCAGTAAGCTATGATTGAGCCAGTGCTCTCCAGCCTGAGTAACACAGTGAGACTGTCTCAAAAACAAAAACAAAAACAAAAACAAAAAAACCTTACTTTATCACTTTTGTGATTTAACTTCTTTATACCTCTATACCGAGATCCTTTATGACTGTCTTAATTGGCCCAAACAGGATTAAGGTTATGGTCAGACTCAAACAGGACTGTGTCTGAATCTGACCTCTACCACTTCCCATCTGTATAACCATGGGCCAGTTTCAGAATCTCTGAGATGCTCCTGCTCTGTAACATAAGAATACTATATACCTCATCGATGGTGGGTTATGTGAAGATTAAAAGAGATAATGGATACAATTAGCAGAATAAAGGCTCACTAGACAGTACTTATCATCTTTGTATCTGTAACACTAATACTCTTCATGTTTGTGGACTGATAACTTGAGAAAGTAAGATACAAGCCAGTTCTCCTTTCCTCCTTCCAGAGCACTAGGGTGGAGAAAGGGAGCTATAGTCAACTGTTACTCACACCCAGTAACTTTGGAAGGGCCAACTAGGTGGACTATCAATATCACAGAATATCACTGATTATTCTGGAAAATAACAGGGATGTCCTCCTCCTCCTGCAAATTTTGTTGAGTGGATCCCCACTATTCATTGCAGACACTCAAGCCAGAAATGCTTGAATTCAAGCATCATCTAAGAGTCTTTCCTCTCATCCCTCTGACATTTTATTAACAAGATGGCAATTGATTATACTTTCAATGTGCCATGCTTCATCAAATGTAAGATACTGTTTTGATCTTTTTATGTAGCTCTAAGAAAGAAAAAATGCCACTTAAACTGTGACATGCCACTGACTTTTAGAAGTGTCCAGGTTTGAGATACCAAAATGTGGGGGGAAAAAGTACACCTTGCAATTGGTGAAATATAGGCCCTCTCATTCTACCACTGCTTAGTTCAGACTCCCATCATCCCTTGCCTTGATTAGGGATGGAAGCTCCTGTCTTCCCTCTACCCAGCCTCTGCTGCCAAAATGATGTTTCTAACGGCCAATATTACCAACCTACCCAAATCCTTCCATTAGTTCTTCTCCCATAGCCCCCAGTCCATATTCTCCGTTTAACTGGCTGCAATTCCTCACATGTCGTATCACTTCTAGTCAATGTCTCTTCCATGTTATTTTTTGTCTGGAATGTTTTTTCCTTCCCCTCTTCATCTATCTCCTAGCTTTTAGACACAAGGATATTCTAGCCGGGACATATCTCACTCCACCCCTCCTTGTGGCCAGGACTGCTTTGGTTGATATGGCTTAAATGGATGTCCCTTTCTTCATTCACAAATAAACTCCATCCAAAAATGAACCCTACCCCAACCCCCAAAAGACAAACTTCCTATGAAAGGGCAATTGGAGCCTCCAGAAAGTTCTAACTTGTATGGTTTTCAACACCAAGCAAGCATCAGCTCCTCCAAGAGTCTTCCCAAATTCTCCAAGCTCAATAAGGAACCCCTCCCCGGAGCTCCATAATATTCCACATGTACTTCTATCACACTCCTTCTTAGAGCATCTTGGAGTTGTTAACTTGTTTCCTTCCCTACCATACTGTGAGCTCCTTGGAAATAGTGATTTCTTATTCAGCTCTATTATTCCCCAGAACCTGGAACCTAGAAGGTACTTCATACTAATGAAATTATCAGGTGAACGGATGGATGGGTAAATGAAAAGTGATTACTGTATATAATCACTGGGTCCTAGTTTCCCATTCTCAGGTGCCCCAAATCACCTCACATTGCCACTAGCCCTTCCCAAGTGTGGTAACTGGCTTAACCAGGAAAGAGCAATGACACCCCTTGGTGGTCGGTGCAGGGAGTACATCTTACTGAACAAAAGGAAGTTTCTCTCTTTTCAATCACTGCTGTCCCGCTCTTGAGGTTAGGAAATGTCAAGAGTGAGGGAGATTTGCATTTTCAAATGATCAAGCTGATGACTGCATGCAGAATGGATTGGAGAGGGGATAGAGGAGGAAGCAGGGATGCCAGCTGGGAGGCTGACTTTAAAGTTAGAGTTGAGAGTGAAGTGCAGATCTGTGACTTTGACACCATCACACTTAACCACTTTGTAATATTGCCTTTTTTACCTAGAACTTTCCTTTCTTCTTCTCAACTGAGCCCTGTGGCAGATAGATTCTAGGATCTGTTCAATGATTCAGTGATGTCTGCCTTCTGGTATACATGCCTTTGTATAACTCCCTCCCTTGAATATGGGCTGGCCTAGTGACTTGCTTCCAACCAACAGATTACAGCAAAGGTGATGAAATGTCACTTCTGTGATCAGACTACATGAGACTGTAACTTCCATCTGGCTAGCAGACTCTAATCCTTGCTTACTTTGCTTAAGAAAGCTGCCATGTTGTAGAGGCTCGTGTGGCAAGAAGTGAGGGCAACCTCCAGCCAACAGTCAGCTAGTGGAATCCCTGAAGCCAGCAACCCTTGAGGGTTGTCAACAAGCCTGATGCGGTGGCTCAAGCACCAGCACTTTGGGAGGCTGAGGCAGGTGGATCATGAGGTCAAGAGATCGAGGCCTTCTGGCCAACATGGTGAAACCCTGTCTCTACTAAAAATAAAAAAAATTAGCTGGGCATGGTGGCGTGTGCTTGTAATCCCAGCTATCTGGCAGGAGAATCGCTTGAACCAGGAGGCAGAGGTTGCAGTAAGCTGAGATTGAGCCACTACACTCAGGTCTGGCAACACAGTGAGACACTGTCTCAAAAAACAAAATAAAACAAAAAAAAAAAGAAAAGAAATTCTGCTAACAATATAAGTGAGCTTGGGAGCAGATCCTCCCCCAGTCAGGCCTTCAAATGAGAACAGCCCTGACCAATAACTTGATTTCAGCCTTACAGGGTTTCAGAGAAACCATGAAGCAGAGGACCCAATGAAATGGTGCCTGAACTCCTAACCTATAAGCTCTGAAATAAATGGGTGTTGCTTTAAACCATTAAGTTTGTAGTAATTTGTTTATCTGATAACTAATGAAGTACCTATTCAAAATTGTCATCATCATGCAGGTGAGAACCTTCTGAAAACCTGGGAAACTTTCTGTAGTCAGACTCCACTACTGTACCACTAATGTCTCTTCCCTCCGACTCTGCAGCACCCCAGCAAAAGACCTCTGCAGCTGAGTCCAAAGAACATTCCCATGTGAACTGAGCGACCAAGTGTCATCTGAGTGAGCTTGTTAGATTCTAGCCCCATCCTGTGTGAGGCCTTAGGTGGACCATTTACAGCTCACAAGAAATGCAGTTTATGAGGAGAGACCATGAATAATGGGGGGGGAGGGTATTACCAAGCAGATCAGCATAAGGAACATCCATTCCCAGAGAGAAACTTGGGCTATTGTCAGTTCAAGGACATATCTCTCTGTCCTTTTACAGCATATTGCAATAGATTACAGCCATGCTAAATCATCCATAAATGAGCTAATTCCACCGAACAGACAGGAAAGAAGGTAGAGTCCTACAACAGCCTAGTCGGAATAAGAACTACAGTAATTTTGCCAAAGGCCCTTAAGTTCTTGAATAATTCTTGTCAAAATGAATTTCAATCTGAGTTAACTCACAGTCAACAATTTGGCTGTTTTTCTTGTTTCTCACTCTACTGCTATACTCTCTTCCACAGTATTTTTAAGTAGCCATTTAAATGGGTTTGTTCTGCTGCAGGTGGCTGAGCCTGGGAGCTCCTCCTTGGGAGACTACACAATGGATTCTGTAATGATTAGTGGCAGCATCCAACGTCTCTTCCAAGTCTAAAATTTGTGAGTTTCAAAGTTGACACTCCCCAAACCTGGCCTTTGCTGCTGCCTCAGATTCTCATTCACTCTAGCAAGGCAGAGAGAGCAAAAGGGGCAAGACGAACCTCATCAACAGCACAGAAATCCCAGAATCACACACTCTCTGGTCCAGCCAAGCCAAGTGGTTTTTTTTTTGGGGGGGGGGGTTTAATCACCCTCCATTACCCAACATTCTCGTTCCCAGATGAATTTTAAACTGGAGTTGCACCAACTGTGAGACAGCCTCAACCGCAATGTTAAATACTACCAGTTACTAAAAAAAAAAAAAAGACTGAAAACAGTTCTCTCTGGAAAACGATCCACCAACCTTTTTATGGGAAGAAGAAAGTCTTCTCTAACACTTTAACTTAAGGGAAGAAGTGATGGAGAGGAAGAAGGAAAGTACATTGGCCAATACTCTGAAACTGACTGACTTGGGTATCTGTGGTCCAGAGAGGATCCCGAAAGACAGTGACTCTGTCTCAATGATTATTACCATCCCAATTAAAAGTCAAAATGACAGCATTTACATTCACACAGGGTCTCTTTCCAGGAAGTTTGTGATTCACCTACATGTCCTCAATTCTCAAGATAACAATGGGGTCAACAAGGAGGTGACAGCCAGGTCCTGTGAGAGCTGTTTGTCAGAGCCCACTCTCAGTGAGTCAGTCCCTGGAAGTTGGGTTCAGTGCATGGAGGCAGGGCCACTGACTGGCTTAGCAACTTGTCCATCATGCCGATTTTAGCATCTTGCTTCTCAATGTCCTCATACGGAGTCCAGGACAAGTCATGCTGTAGCTTGTAGGCACCAAGGAAGTCATGTGGACAACTTGTCCCCCATTCCTAGAGAAGGCAAAGGAGGCAGTTCCCATCAGGGTGGGTTGTGAACTGAGCTCATTTCCTAATTATGCCACAATCTCTTTTTTGGCTTTTCACTTCATACCAGTCAGAACAATCTTTGGAAAGCAGTTACCTTACACATCAGATCCCTCCCTTGAGAAAATGAGTGAAATAATTTAAGCACAGGTATACTTTTTATAGTCATGTCTGGGCTCACATCACCCCCAGTTTTCTAAGAAACCATATACCAATCCACATGTCTACATTTTCACACATATACCAAGAATTTCTCAGAGGCTGGAGTAGATTTTTGGGCAAACAATGTATGTTCTTACCTTTGGAGAAATGATGGAAAAATACTGCTGACCACTCTCCCGTTTATAGAGGTAGTAAATGTTGCCAGGTTTTTTCACCATATTACAAGCTACATGGTGCAGGTCGGCATCTCTGTGAGCATCTTCCAGTACCTATGAATCACAGATATGTAACGAATTAGGTATTGGAGATAACGGGCACCCATATTCAGTAATCATCCCAATTAAAATTTGAAAACCATTCAATGCTTAGGATCTTGGTCCCCAATAGCAATGAATCACTTTTAAGATCCAGATTACTCTGAAGAAACAAAAATTAGACTATGCTGCTATGCTGTAAAAAAGGCTTTAAAAAATTATATTTCAAGCCAGGCACAGTGATTCATGCCTGTAATCCTAGCACTTTGGGAGGCCATGGCAGGCGGATCACTTGAGCTCAGGAGACCAGCTTGGGCAACATGGCAAAACCCTGTCTCTACTAAAAATACAAAAAATTAGCCAGGTGTGGTGGCATATGCCTGTACTACCAACTACTTGGGAGGCTGAGGCAAGAGGATCACTTGAGCCCAGGGGGCAGAGGTTACAGTGAGCCGAGACTGCACCACTGCAGTCCAGCCTGGGTGATACAGTGATACCCTATCTTAAAAAAAAAAAAAAAAAGGTATTTCAAAATGTTGAGCAATAATGACTCCAGGTAATTTTTAAGTTTCTTTCCTATTTTTCTGTGCTAAGTACATTTCTTTTATAAATGAAAACATATTCCCCTGTTAAAATGCTTTACCTCATGAAACCTTCTCCTGGAAAAAACAAAACAAGGGAGGCTGAGGCAGGCGGATCACCTGAGGTCAGGAGTTCAAGACAGGCCTGGCCAACATGGCGAAACCCCATCTCTACTAAAAATACAAAAGTTAGCAGGGTGTGGTGGTGGGCACCTGTAATCCCAGCTACTTGGGAGGCTGAGACGGGAGAATCGCTCGAACCCGGGAGGCAGAGGCTGAAGTAAGCTGAGACCACGCCACTACACTCCAGCCTGGGCAACAAGAGCAAAACTCTGTCTCAAAAACAAACAAACAAACAAAAACTTATACTTAACCTCTTAAGCTTATTCCTTCTATTTTACTCAACACCTACCTCTACATTTCTAGGAGGCACTAAAGACATAAAAAGTCACAATGATTATAAACAAGTTCAGCCAATCCTGAGAACTAAAGAAAGAAAATGAAAGCCTGTCTAACAGTCATTCCTTACCTTCCTGGCTTGTTCCTGCAAATGTTGGATTTGCTCAGCTATGACTGTCAGCTTGTTGGTGGCATTTGCTCGGATGAATTCATCAGCCTACAGGTGAGAGAAAACTAAACTGTGGGTTGAAAGAGGAAAAGACTTCTATGATGTTCTTTTCTGGATCCCAGTGAAGAGGTTTATGCTAATATTTTGCTTCTGCCTAAAATATGTTTCCCATTCTCTCCACTGCCCCACAGCCTCCCACTCATCCTGAGGTCCCACTCAGATAGCACTGTCATGAGAAGGCCACCCTGACATGACTCCACACCACAGTTACATGCTCTCTTCTATTTCCCATAGCTTTCCACCCTTTCACTATGAACTGCAGTTACACTGAACTTCTTTGGTTCTCCAACATGCCTTCTCTCTTTCTCTCTCTCTCTCTCCTGCTACCAAATATATTGAATATACCCTCTCCTCCAACCAATCCATTTTTCCTCCTGCTCTTTACCTAACAAACACCACACACTTCTCAGGTCTCCATTTTCTCATGTTTAAACCCTTGTGAAATCAGGGATGGATTTTAAATAATTAAAAGACACTTGTGATCTGGCCCTTATCATCTGCTAAGGTAGAAATCTAGATACACACAGAAAGTATTCGGGTTTTTCTATGTGACCCCCACACCCCCAGAACTGAGAAAGTATGTGTTAATCTGACCATTTCCTCAGTTATTTACATCACAACTACTTAAATTTTAACTTATATGTGCATTTCTAATTATTACTTAAAACGTATTTTGAAAGACTGCATTATGATGTGGACCCGAAACAGAGTTATAATGTGCACACAAGACTGCCTGTCATGTGCCACAAAGTGCAACTGAAGGCAATGGAAATTTTTTTTTCTTCAGACAGAGTTTTCGCCCTTACTGTCCAGGCTGGAGCTCAATGGCGCGATCTCGGCTCACTGCAACCTGTGCCTCCTGGAGTCAAGTGATTCTCTAACCTCAGCCACCCGAGTAGCTGGGATTATAGATGCCCACCACCATGCCCAGCTAATTTTTGTATTTTTAGTAGAGGCAGGGTTTCACCATGTTGTCCAGGCTGGTCTCGAACTTCTGACCTCAGGTGATCCACCCACCTCGGCCTCCCAAAGCGCTAGGATTACAGGTGTGAGCCACTGCGCCCAGCCAGGACATTTCTTAAAATAGATCAAATTCTCAAAGTTAGGAGAGACTAATGTGATCAATTCATGTGCTGGGAAGGATTACCACTCAGGCAATAGAAATCTGTCAAAAATTTCCAGCTTACTTTTACAAAAAGCTGATTATACACAATTAAGGTAAAGAAATGAGGAAATTAAACTAGAACTTGAACTAAAAAATATTAAAGAGAATTTGTTGGTTAGTTGAGGAGTCTTACGGCAAAATTCAGGTATAAACCAGTGTTATGAGTGAACAGAAACCATACAAGTAAACTGAGTCATTTATCTGTCCCACAGATGTATATTAGGCAGCTACTGTGTGTCAGACACCACACTAGGCACTGGGTGTACTGGTTAACAGGAAAGAGAAATCCCTGCCTTTAAGATGGCAAGTCAAGTCTAATATAGTTTAACAGAAATATGAGGCAAGTCGCATATAAAATTTTAAATTTAAATTTTCTAGTAGCCACGTTAACAGTAAATTAATTCTAACAATAATTTTTTTTTTTTTTTTTTTTGAGGCAGAGTTTCGGTCTGTCACAGACGCTGGAGTGCAGTGGTGCAGTGGCTCACTGCAACCTCCACCTCCTGGGTTCAAGCGAATCTCATACCTCAGCCTCCTGAGTAGCTGGCACCACAGGCATGTGTCACCATGCCCGGCTAATTTTTGTATTTTTAGTAGAGACGGGGTCTGGCCATGTTTGCCAGGCTGGCCTCGAACTCCTGGCCTCAAGTAAGACGCCTGCCTCAGCCTCCCAAAGTGCTGAGATTACAGGCATGAGCCCCCGTGCTCCAGCTAACACATTTTATTTAACCTAATATATCAAAAACATGTTCATTTTAACATGTAATCACTATTTTTAAGTTGTTAATGAAATATTTTGCATTTTTTGTTTGTTTTTGTTTCTTTTTTTGGTCCTTTGCAGTCTAATCCATATTTTGCATTTGATATTAAGCCTTCAAAATATAGTGTTTATTTTGTACTCACAGCACATCTCAATTTGGATGCTAAATTTTCATCAGAAATACTTCATCTGCATTTAGACTTAATAAAATTTATATGTGAAAAAGTTGATTCACATACTCAAATTGTTCCAATATACTTGAGTTCCAATACTTGAAGTAATTATTGTTTTTAAATTCAAATGAATTAAAATCAAATAAAATATAAAACTTGGTTCCTCAACCACACTAACAACATAAGTGCTTAACAGACATAATGTTGCTAGTGGGTACCATATTTTAAAGCACAGCTCCAGTGAGTAATAGATACCAAAAAGTAAACATGATTAAAGTTAATATTATATGTACACATAATAACAATGCACTATTATGAAGGAAATAATCACAATTATGTGGTAGAAGCAGGTTAAAGATAACAAATAAGTAGAAAAGCTACTTCATTTTTATGAAGTTTAATAATAGGGAGTGGTGGGGAATTGGAAAGTATATGTAGCCTAGAAGTATTTGAATTCAATTTAATAATACTGTCATTTGGATGGGGTAGGGTAAGGCCTTTTTCAGACAAGAAGGCCTCACTAAGGATGTAACATTAGACTTGGGTCTAAATGAAAGGAGAGGACCGACCATGAGAAAAGCTGGGAAAAAAAAAAGTTTGCAGGCATTTGAGGCCAATGCAGTTGAAGAGTAGTTAGTGATAGGCAATGTGTAGAACGGGGTTGAAAAAGAGAGTAGAGACCAGATCGTGCCGTCTTGTAGCCCGCGGTAAAAGAATTTGCATTTTGTTCCAAGAATGAAAGCCCAGGCATGGTGGCTCACACCTGTAATCCCAGCACTTTGGGAGGCCGTGGCTGGTGGATCACGGGAGGTTGGGAGTTCGAGACCAGCTTGACCAACATGGAGAAACCCCGTCTCTACTAAAAATACAAAATTAGCCAGGCGTGGTGGCACATGTCTATAATCCCAGCTACTTGGGAGGCTGAGGCAGGACAATTGCTTGAACCCAGGAGGCAGAGGTAGATGTGAGCCAAGACAGCGTCATTGCACTCCAGCCTGGGCAACAAGAGTGAAACTCTGTCTCAAAAAAAAAAAAAAAAAAAAAAGACAGAAAGAAAG